CTCTAAATATAAGCGTCCCAATGTCTTAGTGCAGAGAATGTAGAAGGTTGCTTCCTGGGAAGAGCTACTTAGAAATGGAAGAGCATATGATGATACTACTTTCCTAACGGAGCATCTGATAGCAAGATCTTGACTTAAGTCTAATAAGTAAAGGAGTAGCTTTGCAGAAGTGCATGCGTATTTATAGTTAGCATTGTGCTGAAGTACTTGGCTGAATCCAGCTTCTTTACATTTTAACAACATAAGAAATTAATTCTTCTCTCAGTGTTCATCTTCAGAGCTTGTGTTGGATATTTATCAGCTACACCCGCATAAGTTGACTGCACTTGCTCTTCATTATAACTATGCTGAGTTCTTTAGTGACAAGTTTAACAAAAACACTCCTTAAATTCAAAGTACAGATTGCAATTTTTTCCTAGGAAGTCCATCACTTTCCATTAGTACTGAAGCTGTAATGTTTAATCTCTGTGCTTCCTTTATTGTGCCTTGGCCTTCTTTTAAACTTTCTGACTCTTCTGTGTTAAAACAGAAAACTATGAAAAGCAAATGGATTGATTCAATATGTGGGATAGTTTCAAAAGGAGAAGCCAGACGCTGATTGTTTTTCGTAATGTTACATATTAATTTCAAGTTTACAGTGCTGGCTTTTTGGGACAGTTTTTAAAATGTTCTGAGAGTTTAGTATGTATTTAATGAGATCCTGTCTACTTCCTTTTAAGGATAGGGAAAGGGAAGAAGCCAGTGAGATTTCCCATAATTCAGGCAACTAGTAAGCATTTTTATTTACTTGCTAAGGGCTCAGTTATGGAAAAACCACTCACCTGAAGGTGGGAGTTACAGGGAGAGAGGGAACAGAAGAGAGAGACCCTTTAGGTTTTATTATGTTACGACTACACACCAAGAGAAGATATAGGTATGGTCAATATACAGTGAGTATCTGTTTTCTCTTTAGGGCATGTTAAGTACTTTGTTTTCTTACACTTTGATAGTATTGTCCATACTATAAGTACAGTTCATGGAACTAAGGCAGAAAAAAAAAGTAAAAAAAAAAACAACCTGAGTGTGAAGTTAGGACATCTATTTACTAAGGTTTTTCCCTTCCTCTGAGTCCCCTTGAGTTTTCATCTGTGATATTATTATTAGGTCTATGCATAATAAAGTTTATAAAAGAACTGAAAAAAACCCCAACCCCAAACCCAGAGTTAACATTCAATTATGGATTTTGGATTTACTTGGTTTGATCTTTAGATGTCAAAACTACGATGTTAATGTGACATATGACTGCAATAACAGCCCTGTAATTTACAGTGCTGTCAGATACAACTGACATTTTTCATTCAGATGATCCCCATGAACAATACAAATGCTAAAATAAGCAAGTTCTGTAGGAAGAGGTGAAAATTTTATTAGACCGGCTGATACAATCAGAGAAAACAGATGAGCCCGTGGACAACTCCTTCATGATGTCATTGCATCTAAGATTAGTTTTTCTTCCAGTTAAATAAAATTTACCTTAGCAGTCATTCAGTAATACATACATAATGTTGTGTATGTTATACAATGAACTGAAAAGGAATTTTCTTGATTAATATCTTTACGAGGCTTTGCAAGACATTTGTTAAATATATGAATTACATGAAATCTGCATTGAATCCCTGGAATTGACTGATCTGCCTTTTTAAAGCTCTAGCAGTACTATTTATTCCATATGTCTTTTGTAAAGGCATATTTGTTTGTGGAGCATTGCAATGTGACATACATTCAGAGAAGATAACCAATGGTATCCTAAGGTTTTTTTCCATGCTACTATTGTAGGGACAGAATATAGCATTGTGTGGTCTTTTCCTTGAGAAGTATCATGAAAATTCATAGACCTGTCAATTACGGATCTTAAAGAGAGTGACCTTTTTCTTAACTGATTGGACAGCTTGTCATCTTTTGCCAACTCTTTAGAAAACATCTGCAATCTTCCTGATGTCTTAATCCCTGCTGTTTGCTTCATTCTGCGGATGGTGTTGTGGTGGGGGACATTCTGTAGTGATGTACACTCTGAAGTAATCCTTATACTGAGATAGTTACTGTTCCTCAGAGCTACCATTTGGTGCTCAAGACTTTACTGTCTTAACTTCCCAATATCTTCATCTGGTACAACTGCACAGGGCAAGATCCTTGTGCTGTAAGAAATAATTCTACTTCAGTGGGCTCTGGCAGTGTAGTATGCATTTTTTATCTTTTCCCACAATTCTCTGACTCCCAGTTAATTTGGTTTAGGACCAGATAATTTAATACTAAATTAGCAAGAGCAACAGTCTGCTGCTGTTGCCTCTTTAAAGCCTATTCTCCCAGAATCAGGAACAGATTCAGAGTTACCCTTGCTCTTCCTGGAAATATAGTTAAATGGATGACTTTTGGAGACAAGTGGCTTTGAAATAGAACTTTGACTGTACTAAAGAATACAGTGAAGTGAATGAGGATGGGGTAATCTGGTAATGTTTTATTGACTTCAGTTACTGATATTGTGAACTATTAATTTTTTCTAAAGCAGTTGAGCGTTTCTTTCAGTTGTGTTAGACTGCAGATATTGACCACTTCTGTAAATTCCTCAAGGCTGTGATTACTTCCTTTGATAAAACATAATTTTTTGTGAAGCAGCTCTTTTACACTGCCTTCTTGGTAGTATCCTTTTTTTTTGGCAGCCCAGATTGGGTTTTAATTAATTGAACTACCTTTGAAATCATGGAAACCTGCTTTATCTCTGATCTGTCGGTTGAGTGGAGTCGTTCGTAGATATCTCATCAAGAAGATGCCTCAAATCAAGTCTGAAAGGACTCAAAGGAAACTTACAAATTTAAAATAGGAAAAAAGTGACTGTGGAACACAATTCATATTATACAGTATTCATAACTAATATATAACACAAGACATACTCTTCTTACGTTGAAGACACAGTATTTTGTTCTTTATTGTGTATGTTTCCTGGTATTTTTGTGACACACAGCACTTACAGAGTTAATGTTTTAGCTGATAGGATGCCAGAAATTGTTTTAGACATGATGTCAATGTAGCTTCAGTCTGCGTGCCTTTTCTGCTTCATCTTGTTTGGCATCCCCTTCAAACAGAAAATGAAAATGTGCTCTGGGTCTAATAACAATGTTTGCAAAACAGTTTTCTAGAGCTTTCCTGGAGGAAGGGTCATAAATTTATCCAAACTGATTTATTTATTTTATCTTTGCAACTCTGTGTTATGTATATGGAAAAAAATTGGCATTATAGATTAAAATATTGCAGCCCTCTTGAAGGGTTTTTGTGAAAAGCAGGAACACTTACTCTAGGTAAGTAATTTATGTTTTCTGTGCACTTTTCTTGCTGAGAAATTTTCAACAGCTTATAAATAAATTCACTGTGAAAGATCACTGCTGTTTGAGTTGTGATGCTGTTTTACCTTCTGAGAGTCACATTAGAACATACCAAGGGCTAGTGAGTTTAGGTAAATATTTATAATTTAAACAGGAGTTTGTAAGTTTATATTGCCTTCTCTTTTTCATCAAGCTGTAAAAGTGAAAACTAACCTGTGTAGTTCACATTGCCTTTCTCTAAGGCCTTGTTTAGAGAAGAATTCTATATAGAATGTTGAGAAGAAAACATGGTCTGATTAACAGTCTAAGGACTTAGGTTTTATACTCAGCTGAGTTGACATTTCAATTTTTCTCCTTCTGAATGAAATCCTGGCGCCACTGAAATCAATGTGAGTCATAAGAACTGACTGCAAGAAGGCAAAGGTTTTACTCCTCTGCATTAGTTTCTCAATCTATAAATTTGGCTATTTATTTTCACCCACCACTCCAGCATGCGGTAAAGATTTATAAATTGCTTGAAAATTCTGTGGTAACGTAAGAGACCAAACAATCAACTTCTACAAAATGGAAATTTTTTAGGGTTTGGGTTTTGGTTTTTTTGTTGTTTGTTTGTTTGAAAGTTCCTATTCTTCATGTTTATGTTGGTTTCTTTAAAATGCAAATTAATGCAAGTAAAGCTACAGTTATTACAAAACTGAGTTATCTGACAGATTGTCATATGGCTCAGCAACAGCAGAATCTGCAGGTTTCACCTCCTTGCTGTTGTTCTTAGGAGCCCTGTCTGGTTGTGAAACAGGTTTTTTCAGGGGACTGCAACTCTAAATAATAATAATAAAAAAGAGTAAGTTAATTGCTTTGTTTTGAACTCAATTTGTTCTGACTCTGTATTAACCATATCATGTCAGCCTAACAGTTCTTCAGAACTTTATCAAGTCATAACATAATTTTACAATGACAGAAAAGTGTTAGAACTGTAGGCTTCACTTACATTTCAGCTATAATGCAAAGTGGTTTTCAGGAGCAGGTAAGCAATTAAAGTAAAGGCTAACCCAATGTTAGAAACGAATTTAGCAGTTTCCAGATTTCAGATTTTATGTCATAAGCCTTTGGTGTTGACGAAATTATCTCAGGTTCCAAATTTACATGCAGTTATTGTAAAGCTGATCTCTTTCTAAGAATTATCTATCTCTGCATTTAAAGTTCAGGAAAGGCCTATAAAATAAAGAATGTTCTTAAACCTTGAATTGATTATTATGTCTTCTTGTGGTATACTTGTCCCTACTATGAATCACATGCATTTCAACACCCACCAGTTCATTGGCTGGTCATACTGGCTGGTCATGCAGTTCATATGGCAATTGTGCATACTCAGACATTACAAATGTACCTGTTACAGCTTTAATGTTCATGGCCTGTGTTTTACACTTGAGCAGTTGAATTTGCAAAAGGAAAATGCCTTCATATTTGTTTAACTGCTTACTTATTAATTGTAATTTAATTACTTGAACATTATGTATTGGTAGGAAGGTGCAAAACATGAAATGGATCCGTTTACCAAATGAAGTGAAATTGCATGAAATTATTGAAAAAAAAAATTAAAAATTACTTTCATGACCACCAAAATTTCACTCTTTCTTATTCCAGAATCGAATGGAAGAAAGCAAAGCACTCTTTAGGACAATTATCACATATCCGTGGTTCCAGAACTCTTCAGTCATTCTGTTCTTAAATAAAAAAGATCTCTTAGAGGAGAAAATTATGTACTCCCATCTAGTTGATTATTTTCCAGAGTATGATGGTAAGTATAATGACATCAGAGCTCATGCTCTATTTACGCTAATGACACGTTGTAATAGCCTTGTCCAAATGCTAGACAGATGGATCCTTTGATATATCTTGCTCTTTAAAAAAAATGGTGCTTTGCAATTTTTAATCATCTAAATTTTTAAAATATGATTGAACTCTTGTGGGATTTTTTAGCATTCTAGGATTTCATTTTATACTGTAATTTATTGTGGGTACGATGGCAGAACCTTTCATAGGAAATTATTGACTTTTAGATAACTATTGTCATATTAGTAGTGAACCACATTCTGTCCTTCATCCTAAGTTAGGGTGGGTTTAAACTGAAGTACAAAAGCTAAAAAGAAATAAAAATGCATTCGTCAGTTTCACACATTGTCTCCCATACTCTTTTTTTTTTTTGAGGTTTGGTTTTGTGTAAGGCTGAATATCTGAGGGGAATTGTCATAAGCTCTCTGTGGCAGTCAGAGAAACTAGTACCACTCCTTCCACCCTTTTACCATACCTCTTTTGTTCCTTTATTTTAATTTTACTTTATTTACATGAAGCTTAATGTGTTTGTCCATAAAATAATTATATGGATTTTACAGCTGTTTCTCCTAAAACTGTACTTCCAGAAAGTTCTCCTAGGGTAAAAAGCTAGGTGTTTTGAGGTAACTGAATGGAGGCCTTGGTAACAGAGAAAAACTCATATAATAAGAGGTCTAAAGAACTAAATGCTTGTATTTTTAAAAAAAGAATATCTGTTTTGTCCCACCAGGGAGCAAATAGCAGATTTGAAATCTGAATAAAAGATTGAATCTCTCATGTTCAGGTATGGAAAGTAATAATAGGAAAAATGTGCATTTTGTTTCCTGTTTAAGGGGAAGGAAACAGTGAACAGCCTGCAGGATCAGACCATATTATTTATGAGTCAGTGTAAGTTGAGTTTTGTAGTGCTTTGCAGAAGAGAACTGGCAGTTGAATAGAAATATGCTCATTCTTTTGAGTTTACTTCGTATGACAAGTTCCCTAGATGATGTCCTGAAGGTGAGAAGACTCTACAGTCTGCTTTGTTACCACCACCTAAGTGACGATAAAGCCTGTGTTACATGCTTGCCCAGAAAAAACAGACAAAACTCAACCACTCATCTCAGAGAAACCCTGTTTCTCCTGTCCTTTGCCATTGGTGAGGAAAAAAAAAAAAAAGACAATGGATTGGTAGGGCTGTTGCAGTCAAGACCTGGAAGTCTTCAAGAGTCTTTGTCTCTTAAATTCTGCAGATTTTGCTGGATTTAACTCCATATACAAAGTTATGGTTTGATTTGATTTCTTCTGGTGGCAGGATGGGGTCTGTGGCTTGCAGAGGTCACCATGTGGTCCCCTCTTCTGTCCCAACACACTGGGGCTGTGAGAGGTGGGAAGATCTGAGGAAGGGATCAGAATTAGCTATTTTTCAGCTGCATCACTTCTCCCATCTGTTTTCCCGTGCAAGGGAGAAAGTAGCATCTGGATGAGAACTGCTAGCCGGGATTGCAAGTGATCAAATTAAGCTAAGCGGTACTGCTGCACAGTGTATTCTAACAGCACTGAAAGGGGGACTGAAGCATGCTCAGGGGTTGATGTATAGCGTGAAGACATTCTTGCATGGCTAGTAGTAAGAAGACTGACTCACAGACTGGAATGAAGAGCTGGGAGAGGGAGAGAGGACAAAGACAAAAAGGCACCATAGCTGGGAGGAAAAGAAGAGAAAAATATTGATGCAGTACTTCTTATATAGACCTTGAATGTATCATGTAGAGACATTCTTCGCAAACTGCTGATTAGGGAGCAGTGGACAAGAAATGTACTGATTTATATGGTAGTTCTTTTCCAAGACTCCATATTACTTACATCACAGCCACTTTGCAGTCTAAACTTAACATTGACTCATACAATTTTTTTCTACATTCCTGAGATCATAAACATTCTTTCTAACCTCAGTTTTCCGTACTTCAACTTCAGTCAAACAAAAATTTAAATTACATGATACTCAGTAGAGGTGTGATTAAGTAAGCAAATTTGGATACAGGCTTTGAATAGTGCAGTAGATTTTGAGAGAGTGCTCTGTCTAGCTGCTATGAAACTGTTCAATAAAATTCTAGGAAGTTGTTTAAAGCAGTGGTTTATTTAGAAGAAATCGTCGTCTTTGAAGTTCTAAGAGTTTTCTTCACAAATACTGCAAATTTGTTCATGGTAGTGTGAGACTTACTGTTGCTGCTGTTTCTATAGAATCTGGGTGACCAACTCAAAGAAAGGCTAGAGCCTGTTGTGTTTTAGAAGCTTTATTGTGTGTAGAAGTGTTGAACAGTCCTCTGTCCTGCTTCAGAGAGCTTATGATCTCTAAATCTCAGGAAATGTGTCATCTGTGTATGTGTATGTATGTACATATATGTACATGTATGTTCATGTGCATACACCCATATATTGCAGAATCTTACTCCCCCTCCAGATGGATTTAGAGCACACCAGAAAGTATGTAATTTCTTTTCCATGCATTCCCTACCTACATTTTATGGAGTTATCCAAATTGGAAATGTTAGCAATTGTAAGCTTGAAGTATTAAAAAGAAGCTTTATTATCCAGTTGTTGAAAAATATGTGGGCATGTGCTAACCCCCAAGTACAGATTTCATAACTACTGAAGGACATAGCTACATATAACAGCTGAGTGCTGGTATTTATATTGCCATGTAACAACAGGAATAATGAAGAGTAGAGGAGGAGGAGGCAACACAGAAAACTTGCGTGTTCTGTAGAAATCCACATTACAAAAACAGGAGAGCAAGGGAGTAATGGCCTTTGGAAATGGCACTGGAATAATAGAACAGAATTCAACAGCTTGGGGCTAATGTTCTTACTTCTGCACTGCTCTTTTGGCTGTGAATGTGAATGAATCTGCACTGTTCCAGGCTGGAAGTCATTACATTCTGTCTTCCGTAAAGCTGAACATGTGGTTTGGTTGCATACATTCTCCATCCTTCAGAGAATTACAACCTTAATTTAGGTCTGATAGGATCATTATCATACCTAATCTATATAACAAGTGATTTGTTAGAACATGAGCCTTTTGCAATCAAACAGCTTCAGCTGGAGAGCATGTGTATTTTATTATCACTGAAGTAAATAAGTTCTATTGGTGACAGTGTCAGACCAGTTCAGGATATGGCTTCATTATGCTGCCTGTTAAAGTCCTCATAAAACTAGTAAATGTTGCAGTGCTAAAAGAACTTAAGTATAATTTAAATATAGTAGGTGTAGACTGAACATTCACCAATTCTATTAACATTTGAAAAGATTTACTAGTATAGCTAATTTTTCGTTTTCATTCTGTGCAGTTATAAATCACCTGTTCTGAACATTATCTTATCTAAGAACAAGGATAGTCAGCAGGAAAAGAACAGCTTTGACATGATAGTTCTAACTTGATGAACTTCTGAAATTTCCTTCCATCTTTATTTTTCATAGTTCCTGTGAAGTTCCCATGAGGAATAAAGTAGCCAATATATGATACTATTGATTAGTAGAAAGTTCCCTGACTTCTCTTATGTGAGGACCACAGACTAAGCCTTTCTTGTTTTCTGTTAAAGAAGTTCAAATATTGAATCGACTTTAGGAAAACTGACTTTCTCTTCTTAATTATCAGGACCACAACGGGATGCACAAGCGGCACGAGAGTTCATCCTGAAGATGTTTGTAGACCTGAATCCAGACAGTGACAAAATTATCTACTCCCACTTCACGTGTGCTACAGACACAGAGAATATTCGCTTCGTCTTTGCTGCTGTCAAGGACACAATCCTACAGTTAAACCTGAAGGAGTACAACCTGGTCTAACTGTGCCTAGGAGGCCCTCCAAAACCAACTTTGTGTGATTGAAGATATACAAGAGGGACTGTATTATCTGTGAAAAAAATTTGCATAATACTAATTTATTGCCGGCCTGGACTCTGTGAATGTCCACAGAGTTTGTAGTTAATATTATGATTTTATTTAAACTATATGGAGGAAAAACAAAAGATGCTGAAGTACATTCACAGCACATTTCCTCATTTTTTAGGCAAAACGTGACTCAATGTGTTTTAAATTCTCAGTCGTACATTTACAAAAGATAGCAGTTTTTTGCTATTGAAGCAAAATCAAGCTGGTTTCCTCTTTCCCTGACCCTTTCTCTCTCCCTCCTTCCCCTCCCCCCTTCTCTTTTACAAGGTACAATGGCCTGTTTTGTCCCAGTTGCATTTCTGGGTGAAATATTTTCTGTTGAGTGATTTGGTCAGGAAAATATTATCATCAGAAGCAGTCATTATAATTTTACAGTATGTACTTTCTCTGAAGGATCAAAAGTATTGATACTGTGATTTTTAAATTCTTGACATGGGTGTCTTCATTCTGTCTTCACTTTTGAGAATAGAATATTGGGATTGCAAAATAGAACTACAGTTGTCTAAGGATATTAAATTTAACCATATTTTCACAGTTTGGAAAGGTGCACAGAAGACAGTAATGAAATAATTAAGACACAACCTGCTATGTACGTGGAATATGTTAGAATCTCTTTTTAATTGCCATGTGCCATTTTTTCTCTCTTCTTTTATTCACAAATGCCAAATAGAAATGTCATAGACACTACATTTTCCCCAGTGGCTACAGCCTGAAACAGTGGGGTTTTTTTCTTAAGTTAGAGCTTTTTTTAAGTGTTCTTTTTCCACAGTAGAAAAATTATTTTTATTGTATAGAATTAATGTTGCCAAATCTGGCTTTTTTATAAAACCAATGCTCTTGAAACATAAGATACTGATTGAAATGCCAAACTGATGGGTTGGGAACTGACCTGATTGAGTCAACTGCCAAATGATAAACAAACACAGTTTCAGCTCATATGTTCCCTTTTTTAGAAAGTGTTCCATTTTCTAACGCCAAAACCAACAGTGTGAGTGAAAGTGCTACGAGGTGCACCATGCACACGCATGCGGTCTACTAATTTAAAGACAGTTTAAATCTCCTTATGTCAGATATGGCATGAGATTGTTTTCTGTAATAATATCAAGGCACCTTTAGTTGTATAACAAGAAATTATTGATGAGAGATCATATTCAGGAACATTTCTTGATAAGGTTGCTTGTTAACTAACTGATTTACAGACATTTGATAGGCTTTCATGCAAAATAGCCTCTCTCAATGTTCTTTAGAAAAGATTTATTAATGTAAATGAAGCAAGGAGAAAATGATTCTTGAAATTTAAATGTGCAATTTTTTAACAACAAAAATGCAGCACACATTGATGAGCCTTTATTCTGCAGCTTAGGTTGAAAGGTGTTTTTTGACCAGGTGCATGATTGCTAGCAAGCTATAGAAAACTCAAGAGTTCAGACATGTAATTGGATTGATTATCTGCAATGCCAAGTAGCACTAGAGTGCACTTAACACAGAAATTGCTGCCTTGTAGCAGTGCATGGGAGGTGGAAAAAAGAATGGCTTATTAGTTGATTACCAAAGTTAACAATAAATACTAATGAGGCATTTTTCATCCTTAACCCTCCCAACTCCAAAACAGTAGTAAGAACAGTTGCTATTTTTTGCTCCCTCTTAAAACACCTTGTAATTTAAAACTGGTTGTAGGTATAGTGCAATTATGAATGCTATAATCATTGTACATACATCTATATATATATATATGGCAGCATCCATATTGGCTTTGTAATCATTAATTTTTGGCAAATTGAATGTGCTGTATTGATATGTATCTATGTAATTGTATTGTATGTCATAGCTAATTCACATTTTAAATAATGTTATTTTATTTACTTTTTTAAGAGAGAAGAATGTAAATTTTGTCAGTTTATTTCTGACTAGGGATTTGTTGTTTTTTATTTACAAAACAAAAAAAAATACTATAGTACAGAGCGGTACTAGCATCGTGCTGTATAAAATCATTTGCACATTCCTGAGTAGAAGTAAATTGGAGACACCCAGACAAAGGCCATTCACATTCAAAATAATGCTTAAATCTTGTTAGGGCTTTACACAGGTGTAGAAACCAGTCTTATTAGAAGAGCTTATGCCGTTATATCTAGGATTGGAACATAAGCTTTTAAATATAAATTTAATTTCTATTTGGCAGGTTCATGTTAGGTTACTTTTCTAATAGGCTTTATTAGAAAAGTAAATTTAGAGATCTTTCAAATCATTGTACATAAGTACTAATGAGTATATGCTGTTGCCCTAAAAATACCATGAAAAAGTATGGAACATCAATCAAACAGTCTTTCAGAAACTGCAGAAACCTTAGCTATAACAACAACAACAACCAAAAAGTCACTATTGTTAATGATTTTAAGGAGTTAAGGAGTTTTATTTAATAAAGCTAAAGCAGGTAGATCTAGGTTATAAAAAGTAACACTGACATTCTGAACTGGGGATCAGAGCAGTGACTCTTACATACAGCATAACAAAATTGGTCCTGATCTTGCTATAAATGCAACAGAGCTTCTGTTTGCACAGTTCCAGTGTTGATAATATCCCTTCTTTTAACCTGGGAATACATTCGCCATGCTGGATTCAGTGCTGTAAATGGAACTGTAGCAAAAAACAAAACAAAAAACAAACAAACAAAAAAAAAAACAAAAAACAAAACCCCCAAAAATAGACAGTGGTGTCTAACAAAAGTTAGGGTTTGTTTTGTTTTTTTAAATTTGTTTTCTTATGGGATATTGGGTGGGGGAGAAGGAAATGTGGTTCTGAGTTTTGTATAAAAACAAAAACAAAAGTTTACTCATGCTTTATAGTTCTATTGTGATTGCAAAAGTTTTCAAGAGTGTGTGCCACTGGGCTACTTTTGGTATATTTTAGGTAAGTTAAACCTGTGGCAATGTTTAGATCATTTGAGCATTTTCAAAAAAAAAAAAAAAAAATCAGTACGCCAAGGCAAGCTTTACATGAATCACCTAACACAGCATTGCAGTGTGACAGTTTACAGAAACATTTCCTTTTTAAATGACACAGCTTTTTCCACTTGCAGTATATTCTGTTGTGGTGGTGGTGGTGTTGCTGTTGTTTTAATTGGTGGTTTCTACTATGCCTTATAGTGCTTAAGTTCAGAAGTTTGTGCCTCTAACATGAAGCTGAAGGCAAAAACATCAAGACAGAAACCCTTTTAACTTTGCCAAAATTATGTGATTTCTTTGAATGTCATAAATGGGGGAGGAGGGAAGGAAAACATCTTGGGAATCTGTTCTAGATGTTCACTAGCACAAGAAAGCTGTAATACATGTTTTACAGAAACCTTAAACTTGCCTTTTTCACAAATTAACTGGCGCTGTCCTTACATATATAGAATGATGCAGCTATAAGGGCAGTTTACTTTTTATAATTCAGACTCTTTTGATTGTCAAGGTGTATGGACTGTAATTTTTAATCATACTGCCACATGATTGTGAATCACTTAAGTTTGAAAGTAGAGAAGAGACTTTTTATGCTGGATATCAGTCACAATTGACTGCATGATTTGCAAAAACTCTAGGTGGGGGGGGGAAAGGGCTGCATATAAAGACATTGCTAGACTCCCAGCCTTTGGCTGTAAGGTGCAGAAGACGTTCGGATTACTCAAACCTCATGACCCTTTCCTTGTTACACATTCTTCACAAAAGAATGAAGTATTAGGAGACAACAAAGACATGTTAACCCACATGAAAAAATAAAATTTAGCCAATTAATTTATTATATGTGCTGCTGTTCTTGGAGCTCTGTGCATGGTTATCCTGCAGACTATTACATTAGTGAACTAATCAAGTGTGCACAGCAGATTAACAAGGCCTACAAATGACCTACCTCTAGCTAAGAGACAAGTAAATTAAATATGTTTTGGAGAGACCATCATAATTTAGGAAATTAAAATGTCCTGGTGTAGGTAATGATGGTATTTTAGAAATTCACACTTTTGTAAATACGGTCCCTCTTATGACGTAAACTATAAATTCTAAAATTTAATATGCATTAAACAACTAAAGCCATCCGTCCCTGTCCAGTTTGTTAGTTTAGAAGAGATCTTGCAAAACCATAGATTTAGTTTGAGAAGAGGAGCTACTGATCTTTCCTCTTTTTTGGCTTTTGGTTACTCATAATATTTTGAGTTTCATCAATGAAACCAAAAACATTTCTACATGGTTAATACATTGAGGGTCACTATTTCGCTAGTTAAAGGGATTTTACTGTAAGTTTCTCTCAAGCTTTTTCACAGTAGCCGTGCTGCAGGGAAGAAAGGAATAGAGGGAGATTTCAAAGAGTGTGTGAAAAATATAAAGTCAGCCAGATCAGTCTTACTGTAAATCTGTTGGTTTGTTTTTTTTCTCTCAAAATAACAGTTTAAACTGAAGTCTGTTGCTGGATTCCTTGTCTACCATGCTGCAGGAAATCTTTATTTGACCAATCCAGTTTTTTTTTGGGGGGGGGGGGGTCAGATACATTTTTAAACTTGCAGTATTTAAAAATAAAGATCATATTTGCTGTTCTTAAAGTGTCATTTAAATGCATGTATTGTGTGTTGTTTGAGGGACAAAAATAGGGGGTTTGGAAAAAAACTAATATTGTACAGTTACTGCCCCTCAGAAATGTTGCTGGTTAAAAGTACAATATTTTTGGCCATAACTTAGTACTATAGTATCTTCATTCCTTGAAATTTAGCTTTTCTGAAATATTATTTCGGCTTATTGTTGTCCCAAAATGTTTCTTATTATGATAAATGTTGGATAGATGTATTATTCCATTATTGCTTTTCAATTATATGTGCTCTGTCATCATTGTCTAAATATTAAAATTTCCAGAATATCTTTACTAACAGCCAGAATGTTCAAAACAATTAAGGTTTGTTACAGTGGGACAGTCATTTGACAGTATTATTAAAGGGTTTTTGTGGCGTGAGTACAATGGAAACTTGGAAGCATGGGGGGAAAGAAAGAATAGCCTGTATCTCACTAATAGAAAACTTGCAGAATTTGTAGACAGCGAGGTGAATTTCATAAGCATTTTGGCTGATTGCAGTAGTACTGCGAGAGCAGACTGTTTCTTCAATCTTTTTGTTCACTTATATGACGATAGGAATAACAGAAAGATGCCTACGTGTTGCTTTTCAGGAGTCTGGCTCATATCTGATCAACAATCAGTGGACCTCAAATCTTCATTACTGAAGAAAGATTATTTCAGGCCAGTTGGAAAAATAAGTTTGTTCTCTGTTACGTGATCACAACAGTTAAAGTGAGATTGTTGGAGTCCAAACAGTTTGCCTAAGCAAGGACTTGAGTGAATGGTTCCTGATTTTTCTTTCCTGTTGCAGAATGTAATGGAGAGGGATCAGTGGGGAAGGATTTATTTTATCTTTATGTCTGAGTGAAGATAATGTCAACAAAAATACAGTATAAGTGGTGATATTTAGATACGTGAAATAGATGTAGAAACTGTATCTGTGTGATAAATTGTGCATAGTTGTGATAAAACCTTGGATCACATACTATCATCATATCACCCGATTGCCAACTGCTTTGTAGGATACTGTCCCAAACACCTAGGACTTCCAGAGTATTTGTAGACTGCCACAAAATACACAGTTACCAGCTCCTCAGGAACACATCTGGTATCAGTATCTGGTATCAAGGCAGCTGACCCCATCTCATAGCTCGTTGCTACCAGAAGGAACTACCTGCCACTTGGCCAGCCAATAAACTGGGTAAAAAAACCCCACTCATTTTTGCTCTTCTTGCTTGGCTGGTTCAGTAGCCTTGATTTTCAGGGGTTTCAGCAATTTGTCTAATCAAGGATTGAGACAAGTGCTAAGCTGGCTAAGTGGAAGAGGTAGAATTTTGTGGCCAAAAGACTTGGAAGTCAGGAAAAAACGGAGCAACGCTCCCCTGCCTTTAAAACATAGTCCTGAAGAGTGTGTAGTATCTAAAACTTCCATTTTATGCACTTCATGGGCTGTTAGCTGTTCTGGCTTGGAAGGATTGCTGTTTTCACTTTCAAAGATCTTGTTTGCATTTTTATCCTGGGGAAAGAAAAAAGAAATGATAGGACAAGGAAAACTCTTTGCTGCTCCCCTTGAAGAATAACAAGTTTGTGTATACATGGACTAAACCCAGCTGTAGTCAGACTGAAGCCAACAAGTCACACTTGGTGATGGGGATGGAGAAATACAAGAACTGGGCTTTCATTCATCTCAGAAAAAACAAACAAACAAACAAACAAACAACAACAACAAAAAAACCACCCAGTTCTTGTTCATTTCCAGTAAGATCTTTAAAAAAGTTTTCCATCTTTAGGTATTTACAACGGCGTGTCACTGTGCATGACATTCAAGGTTTACTGTGTCTTTGTCCAAGGCACTCCTTCCTTCTCCATTCATACTCATCTATCACACTGATTAGTTACTTCCTGCCATCTAAGGAAAATATTTTTACAGTACTGCTTTATTTATGTACACAGGAATACTTTCTGATCCTTGGGAATTAAAGGTAAATTGGTCTGCTAAAATTGAACAATTGATGAAGTGTAATGCAGCTGAAGAAGACCGCACTTCTTGCTTAATCTTATTTCATGTTCCTCCTGCCATCTTGTTCTAATTATTTTTCTGTATCTTTCCTTTATCCTGTTTGCCATAAAGAGAATGTTGCTTGACATATCGGATTCAGTTCTGCTAATCATTACAGAACTGATTATACTGGCTTAATTAAAGACAAATTGTGAATAATAATAGCTTCAGAAAGTTCCTGTAATCGGGGGCAGATCCAATTAGACTTGTGGACAGGCATTCAAAACTGTTAACACTAGTTGTAATACAGTCAACTGAAGGATATAGTAGGCTAATGTGGGCCAAATTGGGCCAAAATACCCATTTTAGTATGTCAATAGAGAACAGTGTTTGCCAAGATGTTCCTAAAATTTGCTTTTTTTCCTACAGTCCTGTATGAGGTGGTTAATGCAATGAATGATCAGACTGGCACTCAACTAGGAATGCATTAATTCGACAATAAGTTCAAATGTATTCTTGCAGAAAAAAGTTATTGCATAAGATTACTTTATATGATGCTAACAACAACAAAAGATTACTTGCATGCAGTAAATATTTAAGATATTGCACTTTTATACATTTATTATAAAGAGGAATCACTCTCTCCCTAAAAATAAAATTCCATTTATCTCAAGATGAAGTATCTGGAGTCTCTTAACAACTGTCAGTTAACTGTGCACACAAGTATGATTATTGTATACTAGAGGTTAATCAATTTGTTACCACATGCTGTAGAACGTTTGGTTTATTCTAAATGCCGATTTTGGAAAGGC